CTGTCAGCACGGCGCGGGGGACGGGGGGGCTCTGCCCCTGCCCCACATCCCCTCCCCACAGTAGGCACCGCTGGCCTCCACGGGACAAACGGCAGCAGTTGCTTGCCAAGGGGTCCCGTGGGTGCTGCCAGAGGCTGTGTGGATTTAGGGGATGCTCAGCTGCAGCTGTGGCGGGATGTCCCTGCTGCCCCACGGTGTGCATGGGTCAGCTCAGCTGTGCACTGACCCCAGGCCCCCGATAGCCCCTCTGTCACTGTCAGTGGGGTGAGGCCTCTGAAGCAGCTTGCAAGGACCGGTATGCACAAGACAGGGGATTGCTGGGACCAATTTGTGGGTCTTGGGGTGCCAATACCTCATCAGGATTGCTGGCCTGGGGGAAGGGGGCTGCACTGCTGCGACCTTTGTGTGACAGCACAGAGGGACAGGGATGCCAACGCAGCACCCACTCTGACACAGGCTGGGAGACCCACATACGGAGCAGTGTCATGAGCAGACTTGCACCAATGTCACACGTGTGTGACGCCAGTGGAGTGGTACCCGAGCCTGGCTCCACATCTGAGGGGCTGTGGGTCGCTCAGTTTGGCAGGAGGCCGGGGACCCGGTGCTGCTGCCCTCCTGGTGCTGTCCCAGGGGATAGGCCTTGCAGGGACAGCGAGTTGGGGGGCTTTCCCAGCCCCTTTGCTGAGGAAGGGGAACCTGGAGCAGCCTCATCCCCTTCATCCCGGCTGCCCACGGAGCGTAGCTCATTACCGGCACGGCCCCGGTGAACAATGAGCTCCCGGCACCGACAGCTGTCTGGCAGCTAATAGCCCCTGGGGGCTGCCCGCAGCTGGGGCAGGCGCAGCTGGACCTTCCGCAGCTCCATCCCCAGTTCCCATCTCAGGCAGCCCTGCGGGATGGGACCCATCCTGCTGACAGATGCAGACAGGAGCCAGGACAGGACAATGCAGCTCTGCTGCTCAGTGGCTCAGCCAGGACAGGAACCAGTTTGTGGTGGGGACAACCCTGGTTCTGCACCTTCTATGGGAAATTTTAGCTTGTGGCTTTTTCCTGTCCCTGGTGAGGCTGCTCTGGAGGGACAATGATCCCACTGTGTTGTCCCCACAGGGTACCTCCAGCACTGCCTGGCGCCAGCCGGCTATGACACTGACAAGAAGCAAGGCCTGCCACCACCGCCACCAGACCCAGCCTACGCACCCGGCCACGAGGAGTACAGCGATCCCGAGAGCCCCCAGTCCAGCTTTTCCGCCCGCTACTTCAACGGGGAGGCCGCAGTGACAGACAGCTATTCCATGGATGCCTTCTTCATCACGGACGGGCGGTCGCGCCGGCGCAGCGAGAGCCAGCGCCGTGGCGGCCACCGCCACTCCTGCCCCGAGTGCGGCAAGACCTACGCCACCTCCTCCAACCTCAGCCGGCACAAGCAGACCCACCGCAGCCTGGACAGCAAGATGGCCAGGAAATGCCCCACCTGCGGGAAGGCGTACGTCTCCATGCCCGCCCTGGCCATGCACGTCCTCACCCACAACCTCAAGCACAAGTGCGACGTGTGCGGCAAAGCCTTCAGCCGGCCCTGGCTGCTGCAGGGCCACATGCGGTCCCACCCCGGGGAGAAGCCGTTCGGCTGCTCCCACTGCGGGAAAGCCTTCGCCGACCGCTCCAACCTGCGCGCCCACATGCAGACCCACTCCGCCTTCAAGCACTACAAGTGCAAGCAGTGCGAGAAGACCTTCGCCCTCAAGTCGTACCTCAACAAGCACTACGAGTCCGCCTGCTTCAAGGGCTCCGAACACAGCTGTGCAATAGGGAACTAGCCCCCCAAGCCCTGTGGCACATCCCCATTCCCAATTTCATCCTTCTACCCAATCCCCATCCCCATCTCAGCCCATGCCCATCCCTATTCCCCTATACTTCCCATCCTATCCCCATCCCCATCCCCATCCCATCCCGGTCCCAGTCCCTGTGCCAGCACTCCTGCAGCTGCAGCCAGCTGGTTTGTTGCTGTGCTCAGACTGGAGGACACATCCCCACAGACTCACTCCCCATCTGCTCCCTGGGAAGGGGGTCCCCCATAGTGGGACCCAGCTCCTTTCCCCTGGGTCCCAGAGCCCCCCCCGCAGCCAGGCAGGTCTCTCTGCGGGGGACTCACCTGGGGACCTCTTCCTGACCCAGGAGAGACTTTCCTCCCCTAGCTTGTGACTTTCACCTCTATTTATTTAATTTATTACTATTATTTATTTAGAGCTGCTGCTTCTCTTCCCGGGGGATCCCGGGGGAGAAAAGACACTTTTCTGCTCCCCACTAGGAGCAAACCCTCCCCTTGACCCTAATCTTGATGAGACCATGGGCTGGTGTTCCTGCCAGCTCGGCAGGACTGATGGCCACTGAGGCTGACAGAGGGCAGGGCTGCCAGTCACCCTTGGAGCCTCGGGTCCCTGCAGCCCACCACACAGGGCACCCGGCTGCCCTCTGCCCCATGGCGCAGCGTTCACCCTGGCACTGCAGATCCGCAGCCCTGGAGTCAGGGGAAGAGCCAAGGGAGGAGCCAGGGGCTTCCAGCAGAGATCCACAGGACACAACCTCCGTTGGCTCCCAGCTTCCAGCTTGGCCAGGCACAACTGGCCCCTGCCACGGTGATGGGGAATAGCCCCCCCAGGCAGGTGCAGCCCCCCTCACCATGCAAAGGGCTGGGCTAGCAGCTGGCTGGAGACCCAGCCCTGGGGCAGGTAGTACCCAAACCCCCAACCACCCCCCATGTATCCCCAGCCCCTTCTCCAGCCGGCTCCCGGCTCCCTCGCCATTGCCCCCCACCTGCACTCAGGAGGAGGGGGTCAGAGTAGCTGTAAAGTTTGGGTGAGTCTATTTAAATGTTCTTATTTATATTATTTATAACTTATGCTTTTCACTATTTATTTGTCAAGACTGGCCGGGCCATGCCAGCGCTGGCTCGCAGGAGGTGGCAGAGCTGCAGCAGAACTGCCGTGCCCAGGACACAGCCACGGTGACACGGACGGGGACAGGACCCCGAGAGCGGACTGTGTGGCGGGCACGGAGGCAGGAGGGCACGAGCTGGCCCGGCAGCCCAGGCTGCATGTCCTGCAAGCCTCCCACAAAGGCAAAGCCCTTCTCATTTGTCTTCCTTGCTTCCACGGGCTCCTGCTTTGCTCCGTGCCCCGCGCCAGCCCAGTGGGGACAAACCAGCCACTCTATGCAACCTCCCGGCGGAGCGCCCCCGCACCGGCCCCGGAGCAAGCGCCGCGCTCGGCATTCCGGAGCGGGGCCCGACCCACGCCTCCGCTTCCTACCTCGGGCCGCGAGTCGCCACAGCCCCATCACCCTGTGCCGGTCCCCAACACTTCGGGACTCAGCCCGGCACCCCGCGGGGCCGCACTCGCGCACCCCCACACCGTCTTCCTGCGCCGTCTTCCTCCCTGCACCGTCTTCCTCCCGCTGCCTCGGTGCCTGTGTTGGTCACGGGTTGAGTGGGGATGTCCCTGTCATGGTCCTCGCTGCCATGGCACGGTGACCACACATCCGCACCCCACAGAGGGGATGAGCATCGCCCTGGCCACGCAGGCACCCCACCGGGTTTCCCCCACGATGCCGGCGCCGTTCCGCGGAGCACGGTGTCCTGAGGCCGGCAGGCTTGGAGCACTGCGCTGCTGCCCCTCTCTCCTGTAAATAGCAGATACTACAGCAATAATTTTCCGTGCATGATAGATTTTTTCTGCCAGGTTTTGTACTCGCCAGCCCCAGTACGACAAGTCTACTGAGATCCGGCCACCCGCAGTATTACTTGTAATGCAATTCAGGGATATAAAAGGGATTTCTGCCACTAACCATGTGTCTTGGGGCATTTGTGTCGGCGGTGGCAGGTGGTGGCACACGAGCTGCCACCCTGCCCATCCCACGGTGCCCTGTGCCCACGCCCGCTCCTGGGCTGGAGCATCGTGGAGAAAACTGCCCCAGAGAGAGGGGTGATGTCCTGGCAGCACGATGGGAACGGGTGGCTCAGGCGCCCTGAGCATTCCACGTGGCCCTGCCAGCCCTCCAGCCAGTGGGCAGCAGCCAGACAACCCCTGCTGTGACAAGGAGGGGTGACGGTGCCACCCTGCTCGTGAGAGCGCCGGGGGCTGTGAGCGCGGCAGAGCGCTGACCTGGAAGTAAAGCGGCGTGTGAAATCCCGGCAGCGGGCGCAGAGCCCGGCGGGCGGCCCGGGAAGGGCGCCGGTAATGCTCACACACCCCCGGGGCGCGGGATGGGGAGGATTCTGTGAGCAAATTTGAACTCGCCAGTGATGACAACGCAGTAGAGCCCCTGCTCCCAGGGGCAGACAGGCATTCCTGCTCCCCACCCCTCTTTCCTCATCCTTTCCCAGATGTGGGTGCCAGTGGGGGAAGGCAAATTATTTTTAGCATCCAGCTTGTCAGCACAGACCGAGCTGAGCCCTGGGCTCCCGGTGACATCAGTGCAATCTTTCACCCGCAAAGTCCTTGGCAGATTCACCCTGCAAGAAACTAATTCCAGAACCTCACAAAACCATCCCTGACCACCAACTGCAACCTTCTGAGTCAGCTCTGGGGCTGAGGACCCTCCATGACACCAGGGAGCCAGGGTGAGGGCACTGGGAGCAGCCACCCCCTGTCATCATGTCCCTTCTGTGGATTCAGGGTGTCCCGGTTGCAGCAGCCAGAAGGGTGGGAGACCCAGTTCCTCCCGGGAGCCTCTCTCTGTTTGGAACATTGGTCGGAAGAAATGACCTAGAAAGACTCAGGGCTGAAGTTCTTCAGTGCCTGCCCAGCTGTGGGGCACCACTGCTCAGCTCTGCAGTTGTTTCACGCCTCATCTTCCTCACTGTGGACCCCGTAGGTGTCAGCGCAGCAGGGAGGGGGCTCTGGGCTGGGGGTGTGTTCCTGGTACAGCCAGGCGGGCGGGGGGCATATCCCACCTCTCAGCTGCAGGATGACCCTTAGGGCCCCGTCCAGGACAGGTGGGACCCGAGACCCCCAGGGGGCAGGGCAGGGATCCCAGCACACACGGTGGGGAGCTCAGCTGCTGCATGCCCATGGGAAGGACGAGCCCAGGGCAGCCCTGACCGCAGGCTCTCCGGAGCAGGCAGCGGGCCAGCCGGCTCTGGCACCCGGCCCGGAAGTCTGTCCTGCCCCTTCACTGTGACTCTGCAAAACAGTGGGGCGGAGGCCGTGACGATGACGATGGCCGGGCAAGGAGGAAGTAAAGGGGCACGGCTGGGCGCTGCACTGCTCGGGGCACAGCGGAGGGCTCGGCTGAGCACGACAGAGGAAAGCCAAGGCCGGCCGGCAGCCACAGCCATGGCAGAGGCCGAGGACAGGAGCATCCATACCCAGCACATCTCGGCCGTGCACAACGTGCCCATGCGGGTCCTCATCCGGCCCATCCCGGCACAGCTGGAGCCGGGAAAGGTGCAGAGCCTGATGGAGACCCTGCAGGTGAGCACTGCCCTCGGGAAGCAGAGGCAGCCCCTCCTGCACCCGTTCAGGGGCACTGCTGGGGAAGCCGTCAGCATCCAAGCCCTGGCACAGTCTGCTCGGGGGGGTGTCGGGAGGCTGGGAGTGCCGGGGTGTGTTGCTCTTGGGCGTCTCTTCCCCTTCCCAGGAGGATCCCGAGCGGGTGCCCCCCATCGACGTGCTCTGGATCAAAGGCAGTGAGGGCGGCGATTATTTCTACTCCTTCGGGGGCTGCCACCGCTATGCTGCCCACCAGGCACTCCGCCGGGAGACCATCCCCGCCAAGATCATCCCCTCCACCCTCAGCGACCTCCGTACCTACCTCGGCTCCTCCACGCCTCACCTGCGCTAGCCCAGCACCCTGAGGATGCCCAGCAGCCCCTTCTATCCCTGTTGGTTCCGACCCGTGAGCCCTCGATGAGGATGTGGTCGGCGTCCCCAGCCCTGGGGAGTCCCCATGGTCCCTCCAGCCGGGATGAGGCGAGAGTCCCCAAGACTTGGAGGGTCCCCTAGGTTCCTCCAGCCGGGATGAGGTGCGGATCCCCCAGACTTGGAGGGTCCATGGGGTCCCGGCAGCCGGGATGGGTCGGGCTCTCACCGGTACCGGGAGGTGCCCGGCGGGGCCAGCAGGTGGCGCTATTGTGCCGCGCTGCGCCGCCGGAGCGACCTGGACGGGACGGGAGGAACCGGGACGGGAGGAACCGGGGCGGGACGGGAGGAACCGGGACGAGAGGAACCGGGACGGGTTGAACCGGGACGGGACGGGAGGAACCGGGACGGGATGAACCGGTACGGGTTGAACTGGGACGGGACGGGATGAGCCGGGACGGGACGGGACGGGACGGGACGGGACGGGACGGGACGGGACGGGACGGGACGGGACGGGAGGAACCGGGGCGGGTTGAACTGGGACGGGACGGGATGAGCCGGGACGGAACGGGACAGGAGGAACCGGGGCCGTACAGGATGAACTGGGAGGGGATGAACAGGGACGGGATGGGATAAACCGGGACGGGAGGAACCGGGACAGGATGAACTGGTTGGTGTGGGATGAACGGGAGCACGGTGCAATCGGGAATAGATGAACCGTGATGGAACAGGCCAAACCGGGGCACATCTCAACCGAGAATAGCTGAACCGGGATGGAATGGGCTTAACCGGGGCATGGCTCAAGCGGGAATGGCTGAACCGGAGCACACTGGAACTGGGACAAGTCACAGCTCATTCGGGGCACAGCTGAACCGGGAAGGGGTACAGGCAAACTGGGACACAACAGAATCAGGACACAGGGAAGAGACACAGCCGGCCTGGCATGGCCAGTCCCCAGCCCTCCCTCAGCGACTCTGGGCTCACCAGTGGTCCCAGTCTCTGTGGGGGATATCTCCAAAATCCTGTGGTGGTGACAGCCACTGCTGCACCTGGAATAAAGATGATCAAAACCCCTGCAGCTCCTTGGCGTGGTGCTAGAGGGTGCTGAGGTTGGAAGCAGGGATGCAGTGGTCCAACATGGCACAGCACGGCACAGCATGGTGGCCTGGCACCAGCAAGAGCAGTGGCTGTGGGCACACGGAACAAGGACAGATGCTTTGCAAGGGGATGGATGTTCTGCGAGGGACTGGATGCTGTGCTGAGGGATGGATGCTGTGGCAGGACAATGTTCTGCCAGCCCACCCTGCCATAGAGCTGAATTCAGGGTCAGTTCTGCCCAGCTGTGGGGGCTCATGTGGTCGGGCCATGCTGGGATGCTGTCATTTCTGCAAGCACCACGTCGTCACCCCACGTGCAGCCTGGAAAAACTGCCTCAAGCATCCCCTGGGCATCCCAGCATCCCTCTAAGCCGAGAGCCTCCATCCAGAGAGGGGAAAGGCCACTGAGTCACTCACCACGCCGTGAGTCAGCAGAAGGACTGGGACTGCGGCCGGACACTTCTGCCCCATCAGCCATGCTCCTCCCTGAACGCATCCTGTCCCCTAGGGCAGAAACGGGCTGGGAGAGGAGGGCACGGCCGGGTCGTTTGCATGGCAGGAGCTGGCAGAGCTGGCATCGGACGGGGCACAATTTACCCCAGCCTCCACCTTTCCGCAGGATCCGCTGGGGAGGAAGAGCAGGGTGGGCTGGGGGTGCCGGGTGAGGGGAAGGGACCGGAGGGAGACTCCGGCGCGGCAGAGCTGCATGTGCCGCATGAAAGCAGCTGTGTGCCGGGAGGAAACCCTGCAAGCACTCACGGAGAGCAGCCCTGGCCCGCGGCTCCCTGATGGGCCATAAATTTCTCCTCAGAATTGTGGCGTGCTAAAAAGTTTCCTCTTGTTAGAGAGCGGGGGGGTGGAGGGAGGAGGTGGCAGCTCCTGCGGCAGCTCCTGGGGCAATGTGGACATTTCCAGAGTGCACCCAAACGGGTGTCCCATGGCAGGGACTGATGTCTGCCCATATCCTGTGTGCCCCCACTGCTGGGCATCTCACATGAACGCTGTTTGCCCCACCCGCCCAGACTTGTGCCCCTCATCCCTTGGATAAGAGGCAGCTCAGCAGAGCTGGGAATTCCACAAAGTGGGAATGAACTGAGGCTGCCCAGATCCTGCAACTCCCGCAAGCCATGGAGCCTTCTTCCAGCTGGGAAGCCTGCTGCAGGATCTGCTTTTTCAGCTTACCACGCCCTGCAAACAGTGCCAAAGGTGCGTGCCAGTCCCAGGGTGTCCTGACATCACTCCCAGGGCTCCCTGGCACCGGAGCTGTGTCCAAGGTGCTGCGTGAGCATCTCCAGGCCTGACTGTGCATCCATGGGGCTGGCATGGGGTGGGCAGTGGGAGCTGGTCCCCAGCTGGGGCTACTGGTGCCACAGCCCCATGGCTGGCACAGGAATGGGTCTCTGCAGAGCCCTGATTGTCTCCATCCATCCGTCCTCCACCTGTCCCCCTTCCCTCTGCCTGACCCGCGGGGTCTCTGGTGTCGCCGGCTGACAGCCGATCCGGCTGCCTCCAATCCATTCGTTCCAGGGCAGGAACAAAGGCTCTTTGTGGGCTCCCCCCAGCCCGGGCCGGGTGGGGGGGGGGTACCAGCTCCGGAACTGGGACAGACTTCCCCGTGCGACAGGCGTGTAATGCCTTCCAGACCAGCAGCCCCGGCCCTCAGGTACAGCCCGGGGGGCAGGGGGGGCCTGGTGCTTCCCACACTGCCTGGGGACCCACCAGGTCACCCTGGTACAGCCCTGATCCAGGAAAATGGGGAAACTCTCTAGTTCCCCAAAATGTTTCACAATGCCCAGTCCCCATGGCACTCACAGCTCCTCCTCACTCAGGGGGCTCCAGGGGCTCCGGGGGCTCCCAGTGTTGGGGAGCAGGGATAGACTCCCCTGGGATGAGATCCCTGCCTCACTGGGCTCAGCTGGACTTAGACACTGTGTGTGCCCAGCTGGACAGGACTGTGCATTTGGGATGGGGCAGCTCCCAGGCCTGTGGCCTCACTGGCCTGAGCACCCTGAAACTGGGGAGCCACAGGCAGAGGGGTCAGTCCTGGGCATCCCCCAGTGCCAAGGTCTGGTCAGGGGCTGTGGGCTTAGGGCACGGAGTAGTATGGGATGGGGTAGGATGGCATGGATGGGTTGTGATGGGATAGGATGGGACATGATAGGACAGGGTGGGATGGGATGGGATGGGAGAGGGTGGGGTGGAGTTGAATGGACCAGTCCAGCACTGCTTCATTAGGGCTCAGCAGGGTCAGGCCCAGTGTCCTGGTGGCCACATGTTCCAGCCCTGCTGTGGGTCTGGAATCCATTTGCCTCGCCGGCCGTGGTGTTTTCCCAGCAGGGCTGGAGCATTCCCATGGGGCCGGGGGCAGCCCTGGCCCCTGCCCCATCTGCTCCCTGTTTATTTTCTTACACTTAAGTATCACCTCCAAGATAAACACTCCCTGGTGTGGGGGGCAGGGGGCATTTCTCTGGCAGCAGAGGCAGGACCCAGCCCTCAGGGTGCCCAGCACCCTGACCCCACGATGCCCACCGAGCAGGAGGTGCCTGGTTGGACTGGAGTCAGGGCTGCAAGCCAAGCTCAGGCCATGTCCCCTCCATGCTGTATATCCCATGCAGTGTGCCGTGGATGCCTGAGCCATGCCTGGTGCTACCCTCTGTGCAGGGGTCAGTTAGTTGGCTGGATCAGCTGTGAGGCTAAACCACGTCCTGGCACCCACTCAAGCTGGCAGAAGGTTTGTGATGCCTCAGCTGCATCTTGCACTGCCCGGCTGAGTCAGAGCCCAGGCCACAGTGCTGGGGAGCTGAGGGGGCCCAGGGGCTCATGCCCTGTACCAGATGCCTGCCAGGCAGCACAGGAAAACCTGGCTGCTGCCACACGTCCTCCTGCCCCGCAGCCACAGCATCCGCAGGCAGCTGGACAGGCAGGGAGCCGGCAGCGTTCCCTGCTTCCCATGGCTCCTGCTGCTCTCCCAGCCAGGGATGACAGCTCCTGTCCATCCATCCTTCTGTGTGCAGCATCTGGCAAGGTGGTGGTCACACATACACACGTCTGTGCCAACATGGAGGTGTCACTGCAGCAGGAGGTGGTGGCATTTGGGGTTTACGTGGCACCCACAGGAACACACCCACATCCATGTGCAACTGCACAAACACAGGCACACAGCCATATATTCACACATATCCCTGAGCACACACTGTGCACACATCCACGCATGCTTGGATGTACAGATGTGTGCAGCTGCACACCCCCACACACACTCGTGGGCACACACATGTGCTGTCCCCACCCCACATCTCCTGTCTGCTGCTCCTTCCCTGCCTGAGCCCTGCCATGCTCCAGACCCCACAGGCCACCAGCACCCCACACCTGTCCCTGCCCCCCAGAAAAGCCCTGGGGCAGTTTGGCTGGGTGTGGGGACTGGGTGACCCCCCCAGCCTGTCCCTGTCAGCTGGAGGCCATGTGTGGGACGTGCAGCTGAGTACACAGCCCCTGCCATCCATCTTAGCACCTGTCAGAGCCAGGGGCTGCTGTGGACCCTCAGCCATGGCTCAGCAAGGCTCTGGGGTGAGAGGGGGGCAGAGTGAGGGTTCCCCTCTCTGTCCAGGCACCTGCCTTCTCCCTGCCTGTTCCCTGCCTGCTTCCTGCCTGTCATGCCGAGGGCCTGCCCTTCCCCAGCTTTGCCCCTGGCACTGCCTGCACATACCCTTTTGTGGGGGTCTGCTCTTGGCAAATGCTACAGAAGGTCGGGGTCCCTCATGGGGACTGATGCATGGTGAGAGCTGTCAGTGCAGACACAGTGCAGACCCCTGCCCATCCTCACCCCAGGAGGATCCCTGCCCTCTTGCTCAGCCCTGTGTGTCCCCAGCCCCTGGTGTGGCCCTGCATGTCCCCTGCTCCAGTGGAACCCCTGGCCCTTGGAGCAGCCCTACATGTCCCCAGCCCCAGCAAGACCACCAGCCCCAGCCCATCTCTCTGCCCCCCACTGTGATTTACAGGCTCTGCACAGGCAGACAAATGGTGAAGGAAAACAGGGCGGGGGTCCCGCCAGCCGGGGGCTGCCTGTGCCCCGCGGGGGGCAGAGGGGCCGTTTGCTCACAGCCAGCAGGGTGGGAGGCAGTGAAGCAGTGCCTGTGCCAGGCAGCACAGCTGCCCCTGTCATGGTCCAGGAGCCACAAACCCTGGAAGCACTAGGAGAGCCCATGGGGGGACCCAGACCCCAGAAGCCATACCACAAGCTGCAGTCCTGCAACATGCTTTTGGCCATGGGGCACTGA